GTGTGTGTGTGTGTGTGTGTGTGTGTGTGTGTGTGTGTGTGTGTGTGTGTCTATTTCTTACACACACAGGCAAACAGACACACACACACACACACTGACCTCACCAGCTGGGCACACGTCAGCCAGGGGAAGCCAGATAATTCCGACACAAGGCGAATAAAGCATCGCTGGCAGCCACAAAAACACTTGTAGGGGAGGTCACACTACCACACTACCACCACCACTCTACCACACTACCACACTACCACCACTCTACCATACTACCACTACCACCACCACTCTACCATACTACACACTGCCACCACCACTCTACCATACTACCACTACCACACTACCACCACCACTCTACCACACTACCACTGACACTCTCACACAACCAGTATCACTCTACCATTGACACCATTGACTCAACCACCACCACCACCACCACTACTACAACAACAACAACTACTACTACTACTACTGCTACTACTACCTCTAACACAACAACTACTACAAGGGAAAGAAAGATTGATATTGAAAAGAGAGAGAGAGAGAGAGAGGTAGTTCTCATGCCTCTCCTACACTCTCACATAACAAATAAAAACATCAACAGCACCACAAAAACCTCCTACTCGTCCAACACCCCACAACATGGTGATGAGAGAAACGCCTCAAGTTACTGTACAATAAGCCACTACCACCTTTGTACCGCCTAGCAGCTAGATACCATTCTTCCGTCTTCATTGTGGGAGGCAGCTCAACTTACGATCCTTTGAGAATGTGTGTGTGTGTGTGTGTATGTGTGTGTGTGTGTGTGTCGCAGCTTAATAAACTTAACCCATTAGGTTTTCGTTTGTTTACCCGCCAAAATGGACCCAGTCTTTTCCCCCAGAATGCATTGCGGTAAACAAACTATGACGTAAAATGGTAAGATTTCATTAAGTTATTACATCGTTATTCATAGGGTGTGTTTATTTTTTATTTTTTTATTATATTTTATTTTTTACTTTACGATCGTTTGAGCATCCATCTATGTGTCGTAGTTAAGGGAGTTAGATTAGGTTAGGTTAGGTTAGGTTAGGTTAGGTTAGGTTAGGTTAACGTTAGGGTGGTTGATTAATTAAGGTTAAATTAGCTATTAATCTTCAGATGATCTAACATAGCAACCCTGAAATGTCGTGTCCTTGAACCCACTAGTTATTATCACGAGGAGGTCAATAAGGTCAAAGGTTATGATGATCAGTGTTGTCAACCCTCATTGGTGTGTGTGTGTGTGTGTGTTAAGAGTTAGAATGTATTTGTTTGTATTTGGGGAGGGAGGAGAAAAGATGGGGGGGAGAAAGCAAGAGAGGAGGAGTAGGAAGGGGTGGAAGCTGGATTCTTCCTTGTTGTTCCTCAAGTGTGTGTGTGTGTGTGTGTGCCATTCTGCGCTTAATTTCTCATCTCTGCTCTCACCCTACTCCTCCTCTCCTCCCCCATCTCTCCCCTCCTCCCTACCCTACTCACTCCTTCCGCCCTCTCCTCCTCCCACCACCTACTCCTCCTCCCGCACCTACTCACTCCTCCTGCACCTACCACTCACTCCACCACCTACTCCTGCTCCACCACCTACACCTCCTTCACACCTACTCACTCCCTCCCACCACCTACTCCTCCCTCCCACCACCTACCACTCACTCCCACCCTCCTCTCTCTCTCCACCTGTTGTTGTTGCCTCCTCCTGCCTACACACTACTCACCACCTACTCCTCCTCCCGCCACCTACTCCTCCTGCCACCACTACCAACTCCTCCCACCCACCTACCTCTCCACCCACCTACACCTCCTCCACCACCTACACTCCTCCGCCACCCTACTCACTCCTCCACTACCTATAACCCTCCTCTTTCTCCTCCTCCCGCCACCTACCCAACTCACTCCACCACCCTACTCCTCCTCCGCCACCTACCAACTCCTCCACGCCACCTCTCACTCCTCCCGCCACCTACTCCCCACTCCTCCCGCCACCCACCCTCCTCCCGCCACCTACTCCCTCCTCCTGCACCTACTCCTGCTCCTGCCTACTCCCTCCCTCCCACCACCTACTCACTCCTCCCGCCACCTACACACTCCTCCCGCCACCTACCCACTCCTCCCGTCCCCCTCCTCCCACCACCCTACTCATTCCTCCACCACCCTACTCCTCCTCCCACCACCTACTCACTCCTCCCGCCACCTACACACTCCTCCCGCCACCTACCCACCTGCACACAATAACAACTAGTAACACGGTTAAGCCTCCACCTCCCTCCCATAAAGTCGTCCACCCAACACACATAGACAAAATCCCAAATTGGACAAAATCCCAAATTGGACAAAATCCCAAATTGGACAAAATCCCAAATTGGACAAAATCCCAAATTGGACAAAATCCCAAATTGGACAAAATCCCAACTTGGACAAAATCCCAACTTGGACAAAATCCCAACTTGGACAAAATCCCAACTTGGACAAAATCCCAACTTGGACAAAATTCCAACTTGGACAAAATTCCAACTTGGACAAAATTCCAACCTAGAAAATTCCAATGGACCAAATTACTCTCTTTAAGTTCCATCATCAAGGTGAGGTGAGGTGAGGTTAGGTTAGGTTAGATTAATTAGGATTGATGATCTTGAATTAAATTAGTTTAAGTTGGAATAGATATGTTAAGTTACATTAGATCAGATGAGCTTAAGGTAGCTGATGTTAACTTAGATTAGGTTAGGTTAAGTTAGGTAAGGTTAAGTTACATTAGATTAGATGAGCTTAAGGTAGTTGGTGTTAACTTAGGTTAGGTTAGGTTAAGTTAGTATGTTAAGTTACATTAGATCAGATGAGCTTAAGGTAGCTGATGTTAACTTAGATTAGGTTAGGTTAAGTTAGGTAAGGTTAAGTTACATTAGATTAGATGAGCTTAAGGTAGTTGGTGTTAACTTAGGTTAGGTTAATTTTGATTGAAATTCGTCCTAAGCCGTGAAATACACTGAGTGGCAACAATACACGTTGTTAAAGACGACTTAATATAACACGACTCGTCTACTACTTACATCAACGTCTTAAGTAGGTCTTCCTCTCTACTTAAAAAGTTAAAAGCAAGTAACGAGACTTAAGTGCTTGAGGAGGCAGCCAAGGTGAAGATGTGTGTTTGTTTATATACGAAAGAGAAACAGTGTAACAGTTGACCGTCTTAGTCGATATTTTACAGTAGTTAGCAATCACAATCACAGATGGCGTTGTAGTTCGGAATCATAATCACAGATGGCGCTGATACTCTTGCTATGACAGGCTTTACAAACACGGAGACTTGAAACAAGAAATATCCTTAAAACTATAGTTCAGAATCGCAGTCACAGATGGCAGTTATATTATTTCAAACGTAACCTAACTTAGCCAAACCTAAACTATCTAAATTCTATCTAATCTAACCCAATCTGAGCAAAACTGTCTTGATCTATACGTTAGATTCTAATGAAACCTACCCTAATCTCACTTAAATTGTCCTAACCTAAGCTAATCTAACCTTCTGTAACTTAACTCAGGGAGACTAAGAAAAACGAAGACCCGCAGTGTGTGTAATACTACAATAAGTATGAGTGTGTGACTTATTATGTTGGGAGTCGAAAGGTGGAGGTCTGTGGATAGAGAGGGTAGGGAGGGTACAATTGGCAGGGAGGCTAGGGAAGGAGAGGAGGGCAGGGAGGGTAAGGAAGGCAGGGAGGGGATGGAGGGCAGAGATTGACGGGAGTGTAAGTTGGGTAGGGGGGAAGGAGGGTGTTAGGGAGGGAGGAGGAAGGGAGAGAGAAGGGGAGGGAGTGGAAAGAGCAAGTAAGGGAGAAAACGGGAGGGAGGCAGGGAAGAGAGGGAAGGAGAGTGCGTGGAAGGGAGGAGGTGGGGGATGGAGTGAAGGAGGGAGAGGGGCGTGGCCCAAGACGTTGGGGAGTGTCAGAGGGGACAGGGGTGACTGGGGCGAGGCAGAGGGACGCGACCGAGAGGATTTGACGCCAAGATGGTGGTCGGGGAGAGAGAGGGAGGAAGAGGGGACGTAAGAATGAGAGAGAAAAGAAGAAAAAAAGAGACTGGTGAGGAGAGAGAAAGTGGGGAAGGAAGACAATGAAGGAAGGGAGGAAAGGGAGAGAGAGCGAAGGAGAGAGAGACCAGTGAGGGGAAAGTACGAAAGATACAGAGGGGGAGGAAGACGAGAGGGGAAGGGAGATGGAGGTTTATGGTTAACAAATTTATTGGCAAAACTTTGAGTACAGTTTGCCTATTATGAGTAATTCAGTCAGGTCTTTGACACTGAGGGTGCTATCACTTCTCACTGCCACGCAGAGCAAGGTTCATATACAAAGATATAGATCATATTCAATAATAGTATACATAGATTATAATCATGTGGGTGATATCACTGTTCACTGCCACATAGGACAGTGGTTCATATACAGTACAAGTAATATTCTATTTGAGGACTAATCAGTGTGGGTTAGGAAATTTTGGATAGACAGCAAGAATATCCTTAAGCACTCCTGATTCAATGTAATAATTACATAGTTCATGATACAATAAGCCAGGTGGCCTGAAGTCTTTGACAGTGTCACATTCAATAATATAGTGTTCAAGTGTATGCTTTAAAGGTTTATCACAAAGTTTACATGCTGAGTGTTCCGGTATGGGCACAGCGCCACTAACTTGCCAGATGTGTCTGCATCCTAGCCTAATTCTGGCCACGACTACATCACATTGTCTAGTTCTGTCCTTATGCTGGCCATACTGGTATCTGTTGTCACCAAATTTGTCATATTTATTAATGCTACAACTACCAGGTCTCTCTGCATTTCTCAGTTCTTCTAGATCAAAGTTCATGATTTTGACTTGTAAGTTTTAAGTGCAACATTGGACAGGACAAGGTAGCAGCCAGTGAGGGGAAAGCACGAGAGATACAGAGGGGGAGGAAGACGAGTAAGGAGGGGGGAGGCATAGGAAGGGGGGTGAGGGTAGGAGTGAGAGAGCGGAGGCGGGGGTGAGGGTTGCCGCCTGTAGTAGTGTTTGTGTCAGTGGCCACTACTGGCTCAGTCCACAGCTGTGAGAGGTTGAGTTTACCCTCTCTCTCACTCACTCTCTTTCACTCTCTCTGGTAAGTCAAACACTTTATCTTAGTAATCCTACAACTATACACCTTAAGTGCCGACTACTATATACAGTCCTGTACAGTAAGTGCCTACTGATTATTCCTGCTCGTCGTGGCACTCTGCCTAACCAAAAGCTAAAACCCAAGTTACAAATTGTTCAGAACAAGGTGGTGAGGTTCATTCTTGGCATGGAAGCAAGAGATCCCTTTGGTCACCAAGTTCTTCAATCACTGAACATGTTACGTGTGACGGATAGAGTGAAGCAACTTAGGCTGAATCACGCTTACAGGATTTTCAATGGATTGTGCCCAGACCATCTGACAACAAACTTTGCAAGGACTAGGGATATGAACCGGCAGGGTATTAGAGGCAATGAACATAATTTTATGGTATTGTACCTGGCGTCCGCGGTCAAGAGAAAAACACATAGCAAATGAAGGTACAGCAAAAGAAGAGAGTGAGTTTCTATATTCTTAACCACATAATACATTGCGGTAGTGATCTGTCAGCCTCGGACAGTCCAAGAGCAACGTAATGGTTGTTGAATGTTATAAAAAGATAAAAATAACTTTCACTAATACTCCAAGTGTAAGCCTAAGCAAAGGACCCTCCTGGAAATAAGCACCTGACAACTAAGTCGGCTGTCTGTGGTCAAGTTACCGTACTGTTTACCATTGTTGTTTACCTGCACTGTCTCAGCACACAGGAAACGTGTATACCCCCACAGCCTACGTGTACTGTACACCTACATCGTCTATATTAATGCTGAACTGTAAACCTCCTGTGATAATTTTACTGAATAAATATTATTATTATTTTATACATTAGTGCCTACTGCATTTATATTAGTGCCTATTGCTATATACATTAAGTGCCTACTGCTATATACACTAAGTGCCTACTGTTAAATACATTATTGCCTGCTACTATATATATTAGTGCCTATTGCTATATATATTAGTGCCTATTGCTATACAGTATATCCATTTAACTTACTTTTAAGATTATTTTATTATCAATTGCATTTAACTGAAGTACAAAGTTAATTAGTCAATTATAAGAATAGCTTACTCAACTAGTACTGTATTGATCTGTTATTCATTATTTAGTGGAGGGGTCGGTGAGTGACAGTGGTGGGGTCGGTGAGTGACTGGTTGGGTCGGTGAGTGACAGTGGTGGGGTCGGTAAGTGACAGTGGTGGGGTCACAGTGGTGGACACACAGTGGTGGGGCCGTGACAGGAGCAGTGACAGTGGTGGCTGCGTGGTGACAGTGGTGGGGTCAGTGGTGGTGACAGAGTGACAGTGGGTCAGTGACAGTGGTGGCTGACAGTGGTGGGGTCGGTGAGTGACAGTGAGTGACTGTTGGGCAGTGAGTGGTGTGGGGGTCGGTGAGTGACTGTTGCGTGGTTGGGGAGGGAGTGACTGGTGGTCAGGAGTGACAGTGGAGAGGCGGGTGACAGTGTGGGGTCGGTGAGTGACAGTGATGGGGTCGGTGAGTGACAGTGGTGGGGTCGGTGAGTGATAGTGGTGAGGCCGGTGAGTGACAGGTGTGAGGTCGGTGGTGACAGTGGTGGGGCAGGAGTGACGGTGGTGGGGTCGGTAGTGACGGTGGTGGGGTCAGGTGAGTACCAGTGGTGGGGTCAGTGAGTGACAGTGGTGAGGTCGGTGAGTGACAGTGGTGGGGTCGGGAGTGACAGTGGTGAGGTCGGTGGTGAGTGGTGACAGTGGTGGGGTGGTGGGAGTAAGGACAGGGGCTCTAGGAGGACTGGTACAGTAACTGGTGAGTAACAGTGGTGGGGTCGGTGAGTGACTGGCTGGGTCGGTGGAGGCAGGGTTGGGTGGACAGTGGTCGGTGAGTGACTGGTGGGGTCGGTGAGTGACAGTGGTGGGTCGGGTGAATGACAGTGGTGAGGTTCGGTGAGTGACAGTGGTGGGGTTGGTGAGTGACAGTGGTGGGGTCGGTGAGTGACAGTGGTAAGGTCGGTGAGTGACTGGTGGGGTCGGTGAGTGACAGTGGTGAGGTCGGTGAGTGACAGTAGCGGCGTTGTCTACATAAATCAGTATACCCTGTCTATATAATCTTACACAATACAGTTATGTCTAGTTACCTCATTGATTACTTTTTCGGAAATATTTCTTTGATTTATCGATATTTACCTTTTCACAGCTTAGTTTCAATTTATATCAACGAAAAGACTATTAATGGAGCCGTGTAGGTGACTTTTTTAGTTCTAAGGTGAAAAACAGTTAAGATTTGAGTCATTAACCCCTGCAGTTCACAAATGGTCCGTCTTATGTCTGGATTGCTTTTATGAATTTTGCGAAAATATAGCCTAAAAAAAGTAGCTATGCCAAGTTCTGGTATAACAAGACGATAAGTAAGAGGAGTAGCGTCATGTACCAGCACCTGAGTTATAGATCAGTGAGCGAGCGAAGTGTCTTGAGGTAACACAGCAGTAATAATATAATTATCTTCATCTGTATGCATGTTAGTGTAGTAAGGATCAATTTCCGTCATGTAACACAGTGTCTCCTAGGGTGTGTGGGTGGGTGACGCAACACTCAACAAGTGTATCCGTGGTGGCGACCAAACAGGTGTCAGGGATTAAATCACGCTTGGTTTAATCATTATAGCAATGTTTTGTTATATGTTCGTTCAGCAACACATTGTCTCAGATGGTATCATGGTTGGTGTTGCAGTGTGACTGGTCAGATACTTGCACAACATAACACAGAACACAGCATGAGACAACATAACACAACACAGCATAATATAGCACAACATAACAGCATAATACAACACAACACAGCATAGTAAAAGAAAACACGACACAGCACAACTTAAGAAAACACGACACAGCACAACTTAAGAAAACACGACACAGCACAACTTAAGAAAACACGACACAGCACAACTTAAGAAAACACGACACAGCACAACTTAAGAAAACACGACACAGCACAACTTTAAGAAAACACGACACAGCACAACTTAGAAACACACGACACAGCACAACTTAAGAAAAACACGACACAGCACAACTTAAGAAAACACGACACAGCACGACTTCTAAGAAAAACACGACACAGCACAACTTAAGAAACACGACACAGCACAACTTAAGAAACACGACACAGCACAACTTAAGAAAACATACAACACAACTTAAGAAAACACGACACAGCACAACTTAAGAAAACACGACACAGCACAACTTAAGAAAACACGACACAGCACAACTTAAGAAAACACGACACAGCACAACTTAAGAAAACACGACACAGCACAACTTAAGAAAACACAAACCTACACATCACCATCTGAGACAACATGTAAGTAAATAAACATAACACCCACACTATCAAGAGGTCACATTGACGTCTACTTGATCTTCTTCTTCACTTCTGTCCCTTCCTCCTTCCCCTCCTCTCCCATCTACTTTATATCAATCTAATTTCTCTTTCGTTTCCTTTCTCTCCTCACCTTACCCTACCCACATTCACCCCTCCCCACCTCATTACCCTATTCCCTACTCCTATTCTCTCCATACTTCCTTACTTTCCCCTAATCTTCCGTTCCTTATCCAAAGTTTCCAAAGATTGTGAGTTTAAAGTTTCCTCGTACTTTCAGACGAGTGACCGCCTCTAACTGACTTCCATAGGCAACACCTTAAACACGGTACACGTCTTCATCCACACAGGCCACGTTTTCACCCCTCTCCCCCATAATACACGTCTTCACCCCCAGCACACGTCATCACCCTTCCCCACAGTACGTCACACCTCTTCCCCACAGTACGTGATCACCCCTCTCCCCACAGTACACGTCATCGCCCCTCTCCCCCACAGTACACGTCATCACCCCTCTCCCCCACAGTACGTCATCACCCCCTCTCCCCACAGTACACGTCATCACCCCTCTCCCCACAGTACACGTCATCACCCTCCCCCACAGTACACGTCATCACTCTCCCCCACAGTCACACATCACCTCTCCCCCACAGCACACGTATCACCCCCTCCCCACAGTACACGTCACCCCCCTCTCCCCACAGTACACGTCATCACCCCTCCCCACAGTACACGTCATCACCCCTCTCCCCCACAGTACGTCATCACCCTCCCCCACCCCACAGTACACGTCATCACCCCTCTCCCCACAGTCCATCACACAGTACACGTCATCACCTCCCCCACAGTACACGTCATCACCCCTCTCCCCACAGTACACGTCATCACCCCTCTTCCCCACAGTACACGTCATCACCCCCTCTCCCCCACAGTACACGTCATCACCCTCTTCCCCACAGCACACGTCATCACCCCTCTCCCCACAGTACACGTCATCACCCCCCTCTCCCCCACAGTACACGTCATCACCCCTCTCCCCACAGTACGTCATCACCCCTCTCCCCCACAGTACACGTCACACACAGTCATCACCCCTCACAGTACACGTCATCACCCACTCTCCCCCACAGTACACGTCATCACTCCCTCCCCCAGCACGAGGTTATAATAATTAAACCACGTGTTGTCGTTGACGATATATCATCTTGTCACCCACATCCTGTTTCCTCGACACACCTGTTCCCTTCACACACCTGTTGTTCTTTCACACTTCTCCTGTTCATCGACTCACCTGTTGTTCCTCCACACATCTGTTGTTGCTTCTTACACCTGTTGTTCCTTCATATACATCTGTTGTTCATTAACACACCTGTTGTTCCTCTACACATATGTTCTTCCTTCACACAACTGTTGTTCCTGCACACACCTGTTAGTTTACACATTTCACATAAAAAACAAACATTGAATACGATTTACGGGCGTGCATGGGGGTATGTTTCTTACGGGCGTATTACTACAATGTTATTATTATTATTATTATTATCATTATTATTATTATTATTATTATTATTATTATTATTATTATTATTAGTTTTATTATTATTATTATCATCATTATTATTATTACCATCATTATTATTGTTATTGGTATTATTATTAATACTATTATTATTATTATTATTATTATTATTATTATTTTATAAATATATATAATAATCAATTTCTTTGTTGTTTCAGGTGTGTTAAAGGAGAGCCAGAATGGAACGAACGGTGTGTTGTGTTATTATGGCCGTAGTGGCGTCCTTCTGCGCCACCACCAGGTTAGTGACTCAATACTCACTCTGCTGGGAATAGTGACGTACTACTCTCGATTATTTATTTAAGGGGTACAGCGGCCGAGTGGATGCCGCGCTCGTCTCCTGTTTTCAGGGTCGCTGGCTCGCGTTTTAGGCACCGCCACTTCAAACCAGCTGTGAATGTGTGTCTTAACTTAAAAGCTGAGGGTAGTGAAGGTAGTCGAGCGCAATGCCGGCCTCGCTCTCTCCTTGAGTACCCGAAGGCTTACGTACTCAGTGTAAATGTCCGCTATTCCCTTGTGAGACCCATTTTCATATTCGTGTAATACGTTAGGTTCCGGTTAAATTAAAGTACTAGGGGTAACTAGGGTCTCGCCAGCTGAAACCTGTCGAGATTATTACAAAACTTTAATACCGGTGGATTAAGATTTTATACAGTACTAGGATGAAGTGAGTTAACGAGCCGTATGAGTCTCGCGTTGTCCTTCTGTACCTGGCAGATTAACACAATGATGATAATAAAGTCTACCTAACTTTATTGTGTAGAACTGAAGTGTGAGGCCAAGATGACACAGTGTGAGGCCAAGGTGGCAGTGTGACGACAAGATGACACAGTGTGAGGCCAAGTTGACAAAGTGTGAGGCCTGAAGGATTGATAATTTAATATTTCGTATGATAATTATGCAATATATTCAATTACAGTCCAGTCGCAACACGATGCGCATTTGTTTTACGAGCAGAAACATAATGGTGACTGGGGATCTTCGGCGACTTTATGATTTTGACTGATAAACTCTATATGTTGAACCATTATAAATTTGTATGACTGACGACTTTACAGAATATCTATATATACTGTATTTAAGTTACTATGCTTTCATATGACTAAAACATTGGTATGGTCTTTCCCTCCCTCAGCATGGCAGCGGATGACTCCCAGACGGCGGCCTCCCAGAAGGTGTTGGATATCTTGATGAATCCCGATCTTTACGACGCAGCCATCAGGCCCAGCGTTAACGGAAGTAAGTCCCCCAATACCCCCCCCCCCCACAGTCAGTAGGTCGAGGTCAGTGATTCGTTGATGGATGGCTGATGATGATAATTATATTAATAGTCTGTATAATCTTTAGTTTTGTGAGTGATTTATAATTCTTTAATGTGGCTACATGGAATTAGTCGTACTGTACTGTACTTTAGAATTAAGTTCGGTACAATTATGTTGAATGTGGAGTCTTTCATAAATTCCCTGCGGAGTTAAGGATAATAACATGAAATATGTTCTTAAAATGTTATGTATTGTGGCGCTAACATTACCTTACTTCAGCTTCTCATGCACGTATCTTATATTATGACGCTGACACGTAGCTTACAGTAGTTCAGTGAGAACCTGACTCACTAAGACCCAAACCAACCTAGTCGAGATAACACTGACACTACAGTGCTCAGACGTCAAGACTAACTCCAGAAATTTCTCAGATTTTTCAGCATTAACTCGTGTTGTCTTTAACAGATCGGACCACAGCTCAGGTGCAGACCTACCTGAGAGACATAGACATTGATGACATAAACATGGTGAGTAGCCGAGTGTTGTAGATGTTAACATGGTGAGTGTTGTATATGTTAACATGGTGAGTGTTGTATATGTTAACATGGTGAGTGTTGTATATGTTAACATGGTGAGTGTTGTATATGTTAACATGGTGAGTGTTGTATATGTTAACATGGTGAGTGTTGTATATGTTAACATGGTGAGTGTTGTATATGTTAACATGGTGAGTGTTGTATATGTTAACATGGTGAGTGTTGTATATGTTAACATGGTGAGTGTTGTATATGTTAACATGGTGAGTGTTGTATATGTTAACATGGTGAGTGTTGTATATGTTAACATGGTGAGTGTTGTATATGTTAACATGGTGAGTGTGTATATGTTAACATGTGATGTTAACATGTGAGTGTTGTATATGTTAACATGGTGAGTGTTGTATATGTTAACATGGTGAGTGTTGTATATGTTAACATGGTGAGTGTTGTATATGTTAACATGTGATATGTTAACATGGTGAGTGTTGTATATGTTAACATGGTGAGTGTTGTATATGTTAACATGGTGAGTGTTGTATATGTTAACATGGTGAGTGTTGTATATGTTAACATGGTGAGTGTTGTATATGTTAACATGGTGAGTGTTGTATATGTTAACATGGTGAGTGTTGTATATGTTAACATGGTGAGTGTTGTATATGTTAACATGGTGAGTGTTGTATATGTTAACATGGTGAGTGTTGTATATGTTAACATGGTGAGTGTTGTATATGTTAACATGGTGAGTGTTGTATATGTTAACATGGTGAGTGTTGTATATGTTAACATAGTGAGTGTTGTATATGTTAACATGGTGAGTGTTGTATATGTTAACAAGATCAGTTGCCTGTTGTTGCAGATTCTAGCATCTTTTGTCTTCATTAGAGGTCATAAGTTTGGAGAGGTGACATAATGGCAAAAACTGAATGTAATATGTTATTCCTTTCTGCCATAGTTCCTCGTGCAAACTTTCTGTAACTGTACAACGTAATATGAAGAAACTCGTACTTATCTTTGCCAGATCTAACTTTCACCAATACAACCGAGCTGAACTTTAATTATCCTAACAATGTAAACTACCTTATCGTGATCTTATTTATATGTTCAGTGCCATATTGTTGAACCTTCTCTGCCCAGGTAGCGCCTCCAAATGTCCTGCTATAGTTTATGAAATCACCTGAATTTTAGCCCCCCAGCTTATTTAACCTGAGATATAATACCCTAACACCACTTGGAGAGTTAGGTTAGGTTAGATTAGACAGATTAGGTTAGCGTTAAGGTGGTTAATCTTAGGGAGAAACAAACTGAGGGCTAATCTTCGGGTGATCCAAATTTCTAGGTATAATTTTTCTTAGATTTTTATTTTTTTGAGGATGTGGATTGGAGAGGGTGGGATGGTATTTTTTCTCTCTCTCAATGAGTTCTCTCTTTTTTCCTTCAGAAAGTCAACTTTGACCTCACGTTCAGAATGATCTGGAATGACTATCGCCTCCAGTATAACGAGCCAGGTACTGTCACCATCACTGTGTACATTATTATGATTCAGACAATAAAATTACTCCTCGATATTTTTTGAAAGATTAGAATAATTTTTATCCATATATATTTACAACAGATTTTACGTGTATTTATTTATCATTTATTTTTATTATTTATCGACCCAGGTGTAGACCACGTGACTATACTAAAACCCACGTTAGCCTGGCTGCCTGACGCCTTCTTCAAAAACGCCATCACCACCCAGCAAAAGTCAATCTACCCGGAGAGTTATCTTAGAGTCTTTCCTAACGGCAAACTCATATACAGCACCAGGTAATATCCACCCCTCTCTCAGTATAATTTCCATATCTCTGGCTCTCAAGGATCATAATTATATAAGTAGATTATAGATGTAGTGGACTAATTAAGTAGTGTATAATTATGATTTATTTCTTCACAGGTTGACACTTAAGCAGAGCTGCCCTATGGACCTGAGTCGTTTCCCCCACGACACACAGCAGTGCATGATCAACGTGGCCAGCTGTGAGTATTACGAGATAGTTATAGTTAAAAATATAGATAAATTGAGACAGAGCAAATGAGAAAGACAGTCAGAGATATAAAACAAATGAGGAGATGAAAGAGACAGAGAGACAATGAGATAGACAGACGGATAAAAAGATGAGACACAATCAATCAGACAGGGACAGGAGAGAGACAGGGAAAGATGAAGAGGTCGCAATGGGACTTCCGTAACTCGAAACGTTCTCTTATCTCCAGCTAAGAGGAGAAAAATAACTTGGGAGAACGGTGGTGGTGAGGGACAGTACTACTAGTGTGGGAGATGTATAAATAGCTGGATCATTGTGTGGTCGGTCTGCTGTAAAATTAGATAAAGAATGTTTGCCCACATACAAGGGTTCGTGAGACGCCCTGTATCCGGATTCTTAGATGTTTTTACCCATACGGAAGGATTAGTGAGAGGCCTATACAGACGGTGAGTCATTCATGAAATATTTATAACCAAACTAATGACGTGTGTGTGTGTGTGTGTGTGTGTGTGGTTTGACATGAGAGAATCACATTTTTGTGCCTTTGTATCTGTATTCTGTTCATAAATGTAAGTTTTTATTTAATTCAACATCATTATTTTTCATAATAAAAACGTTAATGAACAAATGTCTATGGTAGATGGGTACACAATTAAAGACCTGGAGTTCACGATGGCTGAGGACGCTCCTATTGATCTCCAGAAGAACCTCCACGCTGACATGTTCCGCTTCGAGAATTATGAGACAGGCCAGTGCAACACTGTAACTGCCACAGGTAAGATACTCTTAACAACAGGAAACGACTGTTGCACCTGTTACTAAACCAATTGTTATTTGTGAGTAAATTATCGTGTCTACAGAGAGCACAAGCGATCCATTACTCGAGGTACTGTGCCAGCCTCAGTCTTCTGGATGGTGACCGCGACTCGCATGTTTATCGAGTTGTCTTTACCAACCCTCCTAGATTTTATATATATATCCGGTGACACAGCTTTATATATTCTCATTCATCCATCCCAGTGTCTGCCTTCCTCTGGCCCTCACACCTTTAGTTTACCTAATTATTATATCTTAATGCCCTTTATCTCTTCATTACTAATTATAAAGCCAAAGTAATTCAGTTTTCATATTTTATAACTACCTATTGCTCCAGCCTTTCTTTTTGTCACTTCATTTTTTCTATCAGAGTAACTTATATTCATTATTCTCCTGTAGCTGCACATTTCAACGTCCTCTGTGTTGAAGGTGCCCACGAGACACTACAGACCCATAAACAAGTACTGCTGTCCTCACCTGGCACTCACTTCAGTCTTTTTCTCAAACTAATATGAACATCCTTCTAACAGATCCTTCAATTAATTATAAAATGCTGTTTTAGCTTTACCTTTTATTGATATAGTGTGACTTTAACGTGAATTATCATAATCTATATTTTACCTCATGGCCACCCACTAAAGGAAGGGGGCCGCTGGTCTGTGTAGGATCTCTCCATTGTTTTTGGTAGTTTTGTCAAGGGTTATTGTGAAGCCCAGTACTGTTCTCCTTTCGCTGCTTGAGCTGGTAGACTAGTCCATAGTACTACGAGCCTCTGTATGAAGAAGTAAATCCTTATATTTGTCCTTCGTTAAACCTTAGAGAGTTTAAGGTGTCTTCTTGTGCTGCTTTAGGTTGTCACCATTAACAACCATTACTGCCGACTTTGCAGTATATTTTCTCAGCCAAGTCTTCGTCTCTTACTACTAGTCACTTAACCAGTTTTCATAACGTCTTCACTGTTGCAGTACGGACAGTATCACCTGTACGCTCAATATTAGGCAGCTATCAAACAGGGAGGTACTACCACCTGGGAAGATATTGGAAGCATAATGTGTTGTCTAATGGTAGACCCTGCTGCCATATGGCATCACGGAAATTGTGACCAAGTCCCAGGTTGCTGATCTGACTTTCTGCCTCATTTACACACAATTGCAGGGTCTCAATTGTTTCTCTTACTATTGACAACACAACATAAGTATATTGTTTCTCACTCTTGATCTTTTTTTCTTCCATTTTGTATTTCTTTATAGTTCTTTATTATTATTATTATTATTATTATTATTATTATTATTATTATTATTATTATTATTATTATTACTACTACTATTATTATTATTATTATTACAGTGTTACTATTGTTATCATTATTATATTATTATTGTTATTTTTAACTTTGTATTTTTATTATAACTTTTGTTTACTATGAATTATTATTATTATTATTATTATTATTATTATTATTATTATTATTATTATTATTAAATTTTCGCCCCTCAGGCCCCGACGTGGGTCAGTGACCTGTGCCCGGGTGGGCTAATCCCTGTTCAAAAATAAATGAAATAAATAATAAAGTTGATGGCAAACCAAGATATTTATTAAATTATAGTATTTTATCTTTTCCTTTTTCTACCAAACTTATTTATAATTTCGTTGACCCTGTGAAGCCTTCCCTGGATCCTCTTCACTCTCTAAACCTTATTTACCTTCAGCTGGTCCAATGTACGCTTAAGTTTTTATTCTTTGTTATAACATTTTGCTGAAGTAACTGTCTTAAAGTACAAATGAAATTATTGGGTAAGTCTCCTGTTACGGTAAAAGATTCCTTAATTCCCGTTCCTGTTTATTGGAAGCTGATCAACCCCACAATCCCACAAGTCTTATCACTGTATTTTTATTTTCTTATCAGTTGCCTTGACTTCTGTTTTTAATATTGGTATCTTCATCTTTATTTCCCCATCTTGTCTTACCCCCCATTCTATCATTATCATTGTACAGTTCTTCTGCCTATTCTACCCACTTTTTATTTTTAATTAGGTCTTAAACTTGCAATTTTATACACTTTTTTTTTAAGTTCCACCGTATCTGTATTTACTTGTTCATTTATGTTATCTTTCTGTGCATTTCCCGCCAGTTATGTCTCATGCTATATATATATATATTTTTTTTTAGAATTCGTTGATTTTGTAGTGAAGGTAAATTAAGAGTTACAAGTAAAGTAAGAATTTATAGTTGTAGGATTTTAAAGTGAGGGAAGTTTGGTAGCGTGGCCGATTAGCTATTTAGCTGTGTATATACAGTATATTCTTAGAGGGAATTTTCTAAACGCCAATTTTAAGTACTGTACAACTATTTATTAGTTAACTCAATGGTACGGACACATTAATAGATCATTATATTGACGTTACTAGACACTGACTCCTGGACACAAACATGAAATTGATACACTTCCCACCGTAAGTAACTCACCCTATGGATCACCTACAGGTACTGCAGATGACTCAACCTAACCCCAATAACCTTACCTAATCCAAATACAGTAACTTTACCTGACCTAAACTAACTCATATTACATAAACTAACCTTATACTGCACTGTTACCTAATTAATCCCAAATGACCTGACCTGACCTAACGCAAAATATCTAACTCAGATCACTTAATCAAAATAACGTCAGTTTGAAGTTATCCCAGAAAGTGAAGAAACTTGTGTTGGGAAATTTTTTCCCTCCAGCCTTTCTTGAGTTAATTAAAAAAAAATATGTCTATAATTCTCAGAAGTTGTTGTTTACTGTAGAAATCCTGAATTATTGGAGGGCACTTGGAGACTCTGACCATTGGGACAACTAATAACAGTAATCGGGTCTATGTTTGGGTTAACAAATTAGGACAACATTCACATAGACTTTCTAAATGGGTGCTTATGTTTGTGTGGGCAGGTGAGTACAGCTGCGTGCAGGTGAGCCTCAAGATCCGACGAGTGTTCGCCCGCTACCTGATGGAGTGGTACATCCCCATCATCTTCCTTGTTATTGTCTCCTGGTTCGGCTTCCTCATCCCCGCCGAGCAGTTCCTGGGTCGTCTCCTCCTCACTCTCATTCCCCTCATTACCCTCGCCTCCTTCAACGTGTTCAGGGAGCCACTGGCCTTCGTCCCCTACGTCCGCGCTATCGACGTCTTCTCGGGCATCTCCCTGACAATCATCTTCGGCACAGTCGTCTACGTCATCGCCAGCTACATCAGGGGAAGCAAGGAGGCTGCTCAGAAGGTGAGAGACGTTTTCATTTTCCTGATGTACTGTATATGATTATGCTAGGGTAGTATTTCAGACGTTTTTACTCGTTTTCCTGTGAACTGTGAATACGACGTCGTGTTCCTAACGTTTGTGATCATGTGACGTCATATTCCTAATGTGTACTGTCAAGTAACGTCATGTTCCTGATGTAGATTGTCATGTAAAGTCATGTTCCTGTATTGTCATGTAGCTAAAGAAACAACTGTCATGTTCACTGTGTGTGTGTCCTGACATGTAAACATTCTATTCGTTTACAGAAATCTGAGAGTCCTGAGGAGGGAGAGCCCAAGTCGACCGTTACTGAAGAGACGTCCGGGGCTCGACGCATCCTGGCCATGATGGTACAGAGAGCAGACTTCCTCTCTCGCCTCGCACTGATCGGCACATACTCTGCTTTCCTCTTCGTTTACTTCATTGCTTACTGCGGTACCGGCTAGACTTCACTCTTACCTCCCTCACCGCAGTCTCTCAACAAAAAAATTTGCCCACTATTCAAATCCTCAACTTATAGCCATAATAACCTCAGCCGTTGGTGGCCAGACGTTAACAACCATCAACATCCTCTACAGTCAAGATACACATTTTTAGAGGATGTAAGCTATTTAGAGTGAGCCTAATGAACGATTCTGGGCCTAAGTTATCATGACCTAGAGCCACGAGACGTAAACAGACAAAAAAAAAAAAGAATCCCGAAAAACTTACAATCAGCGAGGAAAATAATATAATCAATATCGCTGAGTCGGTTCTTGGACGGCATGAAAAAGAAAAGTTATGGGCCAACTTCGAAGATATAATCCATTTAAAATTTCCTGGCGAAGACGCCCCTTAGCAGCGGATTGATTGATATAGCTGAAGAAAGGAATACTACAGCTCTTCCCAATTTTAATTATATTTCATCATATTTAGTAGTTTATTTTATGACCAACCTTTCGCCACTACCTAGAATAAATCTATAACCCCAGGGGACAAGAAAAATGGATTACTGAAGATGTCGACGGTGAAAATAATTCAGTTGAAAAAGAAGGGTTATGAATTTCTCAGTTACAGAACTGGTTAATCTCGTCACCAGGAGGCCGAAGTTCACCCATCACAACTGAGTATTTAAGTTGGCGACCTTCGCCAGTGCCACCTAATTAAAAAAAAGACTATAGTTTCAAGTACAGTATTGTGAATCGTTCCATTTCTACCCATGTGGTAATTAGAGGTGAGAGAGCATATACAGGTACTGTACTTAGATACGGTACAACCACAGTGAAATTTTTGACGCTATTATTGTGTGGTAGCTTGAATGAGTTAAATAAATGTTGTTTTTTTTTAACTCAAGCTGAGTGGGAAATTGATCGTCCTGGCCATGGATATAGCAATAATTACCGATGTTAAGGTTTGGATCGCCTTTTATTAAGTTTATTCAGTCTTTACTGATGTGATATACAGTATATCGTACAACTTACACGAGTATTGCTGTGTCAAGTAATAAAATTCGTCATATTTTTATGTAAATATTTCAACAGGAAATCATATACGTTGCATCCAGTTAGTGTTGCTTACGTGTCGTTGTCTGAACACTGTATTCTAAAAGGTAGAAAAATAATGATTTCTTTTTAAGATCTTTCACTACAGAAAATAAAAAAAATCAATGCATTGGCCGCGCCATTCTCAGTCTACCAACATGGCCACAGATGTCATGTTTTCCTCCACTATGTCATGGAGACAAGGGCTATTACTTCCAGTGTTAAGTTGGCAGTGGAGAAACTAATATTATCTGAAAGGTTCTTAAAGGTCGTGTCATATAAAGAACATAATTACTTAACACAAATAACAAAACAATCAGTTTTATGTAATGTTTGGCACTTTATAATAAAAAAAATTGTACAGGATAACAGTTGTGTAAGTTTTGAATCTGAACCAAGAAAATGAACTGTGTGTTTGTAAATTATTATTATTTGTATTACTACAATTTTGATTGTTTTTCTGATATTATTATTATAATAATTATTTTATCTTATGTTGTACCAATTCTTTTATTAACTTGTTGTTGTATATAAAGTTTTAACCGAGAACCAATGTGTACATTGTACCTATTATTAACTCTAATCTTGATGTTAAATATTTCAAAAGTATAACTTAAAATTTGTGCACCAGTACAAATAGTTGCAACTTTTAATTTTGTTTCATTTGTTTGAATGAAAACGTTAAAACTTTTATAGAATAAGTATACAAGACATTTTAGAATATAGTATAGTGCCCCTTACTCTTTTTTTATGTAAAATAATCGTATCGAACTTTTGATAATAAGAGAACATAACATAGTAATTTGTTTAAATAAAATTTGTGATCAATATTCCGAAATTTTGGCTAAAACCTGAATATGGAATAAAGAGTGACGGACGCTATGACTGAATCTTACTGTATATTCGAATGACTTATAATACCTCACAGTTACTCTCACATAGTATCAGTTCATTGATTAATATTTCTCTTTTACGTTCTCCATGTATTTGTTCATAGTTTTAGTAATATCGTACAAAAAAGTTAATAACAGCCTAATGTACGTTCTTATTTCCTTTTGTATCATTAAAACAGTTCTTGAAGAAGGTGTCCTCAGGGTACTCTGAAGCTACTTCACTTAATGAGATCTTCGTATAAAAGCAGCCATATTATTACTGTATTTTGAGATGTCCCACTGAATTTTTAAATTTCCTACTTAATGTTGAGTTTTTGTAAAGTCTCTTTTTACAGTAATAGAAAGTGTAAGCTCATCGTAGCTACCCTGAGTGACAACTCCCGTGTTTGTTTACATTGTTGGTCGCGTCACAAATTAGCCGATGATGGCCGCTCAAGTGGAAATAAAATACTGAGTAATTTTATTTGTGTTTTACTTCACCTCAGACGGAGGGACGATCTTGTGGGATTTCCTGACTACATGTAAATGACAAGGCAGGTATTAGGTTTTCTTGCGCAATATACTTTATTAATTAAAAATAACACCAAAATGGCAGAATAAAAGCTGGAAGAACGACACATGTAAACAAGATTCGTGACGTTCAAATGCGGCTCAGCTTCACTAAAAATGACAACAGCAATATTCAATTCCAGATATATCGTAAGGGGCTAGACAGGGACTTGTTATTTCCATTGTGCAGGTAATTATTATTATATATATTTTTTAATTTGCCTAGCGAAGAGGCTAGTTTATTGGGCACTCCCTTGCATTCTGTGCAAGGCGTAGCGCAAAAAGAGTTTAAAGCTCCCAACAGGGAAGCACGCAGATCTGCTTGCCTAGTTGACTCATGCCTTAAAGGGAGTAAGTGTCTGAAAGGCCATGGATTTCATCGGCAAGTTATATACTCGTATTGTGACAGGATGAGTGCGTGGAGGAGAATTCCCGATACAATACATCTGCTTATGGTAAGGCGTGGCAAGTCCTTAATAAGTCAAATGCCTATCTGCAGGAGGAGGGATATTGGTCAGGAGGAAGGAGTGTTGGTGACGGCTGGGGACTGTGCTGTGGAGGGAGGCACTTGGGTGACTTAGGTATTGGCAGTATTAAGGGACTAACCTTTTAGTGTGAGTGTGATGACGTGTGCGTCGGTAGTTGCAGCGACGAGGAGGAGGTCTGGAGGTTAATAGGAAACGTCCTTCCTTGCGGAAATACGTAGTCAAAGGACATGTCATCGGTATGGTCCAAAGGCGCGGAGTGCTGGAGAGAGGGGAATTCCGCGTCCTCTGGCCCAACAGAGAGCCCTGGTGAAGACAGCTCAGTGACAGGAGTAGGCGTGGCTTGGAGGGCTCCGCGGCAGTAGTGACAGCCGGCAGCTGTGAGGGAGTCTGTGGTGCAGGTGGAGTTCACAGAGGACACCATGCGGAGCTGTAGGTCGGTGACGACGGCAAGTAGGGATCCAAAGAGACGCTCAACGCGGCTCTCTAGTCTGTGAAGGAGGGACACGAGCTGTGTCACCTCTCCGGAGGAGAGATGTGGGGGAGACAGGCAGTAGCACTTGGTCTGACAGCGTCGGAGATGAAACGGGTAAGAGCCCTAGGAGCGCCAGCATGACGTTGGGGTGGCGCCGGAAGTGACGGTGAAGGGTGGCGTGTTACAGCAAGATGAGGCACTGCCGGGGCAGGTGTGGCCCGGGGCAGAGAGGGGAAGGTGAAAGGGTCAGCAAAGCAGGGCTGCCCGGCAGATGTCAAAGGGAAGAAGGTGGCTACGTATCTACGCCAAGAAGGACGTCCCCTACCAACCTCTCGACGTCCCCCTTGAAGCCGACACTACCGACGTACACGCCATCACAATCACACTATAAGGTATGTCCCTCAATTTTGTCATTGCCTATGGCTATGGCCTGGTACTTGACATTATTAGGGATCTGCCACGCTTTGCCAGAAACAGATAAATTGAACAGGGAATTTCCCCCCCCACTTTATGTAACTATGACAAAACCCATGACCCTTCAGGCTTTTACGCATTTAATGCATGAGTCATAAAGGCAAGCATGAACTACGCATGCTTCCCAGATGGGCGCTGTAAACGCTTTTGCACTTCACCTTGCACAGGATGTAAGGGGATGCCCAATAAACTAGCCCCCTTGGAGGCAATCTTAAAAAATAAAAATCTAAAGAAGGTGGGTGAAAAAGAAGCCTTAGGAAGAGGTGAGGGGGGCTTGTTCTCAGAAACAGACCGACGTTTGGGGCAGTGCCGGGAGTCAGCATTGTGCCGGCCACGACAATTGCAACACCTGGGTTCAACTACCAGGCCCACACCACGACAGGTAGGCATGTTCGCACACCACGACGTACTCGAGGGTCAAGAGGTCTGTGTGGGGTCGCAGTTTGTGTTGTGTCCACAGCCCCCGGCTGTGAGCGATGACTAGTGCGGAGTGCCCACCTTGTCCGGCGCCAACATCTTAACAGTCCAAGGTGATGGTTGAGGTGGCCGGTAACTATCGGACCACCACTGCCGGCCATACCCACCAAAACCTACCTCATTAATGAAATGAAAAAGTCGCCGCGTTACTTCACAACACTCGCATCTACAAATATAATACAACTTACTATTCAATTACCGATCAATATTATTTATTCTCGACGACATTATAATTATAGAGAGTAGAAAAATAGAGAAGTTGTTATAATCAGATCTTCATTAAGAGAAAGATGACGGATTTCCCTAGCTCACGCTGGCGTCTAGCAGCATATCCTAGCTTATTCCCAACCACGTTCTGTTTCTTCTACTATTGCAATACACATTATAAAACATTCTTATGATGAGTCCAAAAGCAGAATAATGTACGTTATTATAAAGTACTCACCAAAAGAAAGAAGACTGGAATTCTGCCGGTGTTCACCACGTCTTCCATGTTAGGTGTACACCGCTGTTTTTCTTACACGTAATATTACTTATCACTAATTATGTCATGTGCGTTTATAATCACTTGTTATTTACATTATATACAGTTGTGCTGCACCACACTATAGTAATGTCTTGGAGTATGATAGCCATCATAGCCTACTGCTCAAAGCAAGGTTGCCAGCACTAGACACTGAGACGTCTCTACCACACACGCACAACATTGATGGTAAATTGGAAATTGGGAGTTCGTCCACTCACACAGTTGGCAAAATTCTCCAAACGTTGCCATATAGCGATTTATGACTTTATTGGTATCCCTATTGGTTGTTGTTCAACTATGAGTGCGCGCCAATTTTTGAAAAGCGAGTGAAGATTTACTTAATAAGCAATATGATCCCGCCAGATTTGCCGTGGAAAAATACGTTTTGACCATTTATGAGCAAGATGTATCAGTCAACACTTGTTCAGCATATTCTTGTCATCTCACTTTTATTTTCTCATTTATCTGCAATAACAACTCTCCTTTTTTATTGCCATTCCCATTTTTTCTTTTGGCTTTCACATTCTATTCATTTCCTCCCTCCTGAGAAGTTTCGTTTAAAAATCCTGTGACACGCTTTCTTCTCCTTTCGTAGGTCCCTTTCCACTCATTTATCATTTTATTTATTCCCTTTCTAATACCTTAATTAATACTCCTTTCCTCACTCCTTGTTCGTCCTTTCATTTCTCCTTAATTACCACCGTTCTCACTTCTTGTTCTTCGTTATTATTTTTTCTTGTACCTACATTACAATACTGTACTTTGTTGCATTTCTAGAACAGAACAGTCTTCTTAAACTATCTCCCATTCCTTTTGCATTTATTTTTACTTTATCCCCAATTACACCATTTTTATCTTTATTATGTCATTCCATTTTTCAACATTCTCTTCCTTCTGAAAAAATCACTTGACTCTTTTTCGTCATTGTAAAAGAGGAATAACTAACACTTCTAAATATTATATCTATACACATTTTATTAGTTATATTCTTACAACATATGAGAGAATAAAAACAACAATGACAAAAATTTTTAAAATTTATTTACAATTATATACAGACCAAAAAAAAAAAGGAAAAAAAAAATATTCTCCAAATAAATATTGTAATTCACATCTTTGGTTGTCGGTGTTATGGTCATTAGCTGACTAGGTTAAGGTTAATTCATCTATAGTTTAAGTTAATTCATCTATAGTTTAAGTTAATTCATCTATAGTTTAAGTTAAATCATCTATAGTTTAAGTTAATTCATATATCGTTAAAGTTAATTCATCTATAGATAAAATGTCTATAGTTAAATTTACTTCATCTATAGTTAAAGTTACTTCATCTACAGCATATAGTTAAATTTACTTCATCTATAGTTAAAGTTACTTCATCTATAGTTAAAGTTACTTCATCTACAGAATATAGTTAAATTTACTTCATCTATAGTTAAAGTTACTTCATCTACATAATATAGTTAAATTTACTTCATCTATAGTTCAAGTTACTTCACCTATAATTAAAGTTACTGCATCTATAGTTAAAATTACTTCGTCTATAGTTAAAGTTAATTCATTTATAGTTGAGAGTACAGTAGTTAACAGGATGAGGTCAGTTTATTTAAGTTAACACACTATAATAGAGAAAAGAGAGAATGAGGTAACTAAGGTAAGTAACTCCTAGAGGGGTCAAGATTGAGGTAACTATATCTTTGTTGACAGTTAATGTAGATTCATGTTAGTTAATCTAGGTCTGGAGCTAATTTAAGTTGAGGTAAGTTAATCTAGGTTTAGTCAGGGGTTTAGTATAGGTTAGTTCATGTAGACTGACGGAGAGAATGAGAAATAAGGAGAAACACGAAAGAACATGAACTATATGTTAAGGAAAATGATAATACATGAAAAAACAAAACAATAAAATGGGAAATAAAGAGTTAAAACATAAGAGAGAACAGGAGATGTGACAGTGAGAATAACAAATGATGACTTAACCCACAGTACAGTACAATGACATCGGTTCTCATAGTCAAGGCATAATGCAGGTGTCATGTATATAATGCAGGTGTCATGTATATAATGCAGGTGTCACGTATATAATGCAGGTGTCACGTATATAAGAATGCAATTAATGGGTGAATTTCATGAATATTATTGCATTATTAAAAACATAATTACTAAATATTATTCTCTTTGTAGACGACAATAATCAGGTTAAAACTTAAATGTAAGTTTTTGGCGTGATTACATTACCAAGAAGTACAGTTCTGTTACCTTTTAGGGACATTTCTATTATATTTAGGTTAAGGCATCATCTTTGGGAACTTCTATACCAGTACTTTATACACACACACCTGTACATATAATTGTTGTTTCTTTAAAATTTGAACAACCCATTTCCATTAACAACTATTCTTTGCTTAAAAAATTGTCTAATTTATTGTAATTATTATACAAAAATAACAAAAGTCTTTTACAACTTTCAATAATTATGTCATGCTGGGGCATCGCAACGTGAGCCATATATGGTTTATAAAAATACGACTTTCATTCATAAAACAGTAACTACACACACACACACACACACTAAATATATAAAACACTACTGTACTGTACACTCTGTAGGCTCTCTAGTTATGTATGAGTCATTTACCTGTACTTGATGGAAGGAGAACGCCGTAAAACAAATATTTCGTTTGTTATTTTTGTCCTGAATAATCCTCCACGTGACCGGGATATAAAACATTCTAGTGAACATAGATTATCTGTTTGATACATTATACTGTACTGACAAATAAGTAAAAAATTACTATATTTTCTCCATTTCTTTAGTTTTATATATATATCTGTCTATATTTTGATTATTATATTTATTCTTTATATCTCTGTACACTATTTACAATGAATAGGAAGAATTAGCTGATATTTTAAAGACACTGAACTTACATCAGGAAAAATATTGGAACCTGGACAGACCGTTGATAGAGAAGACTATAATGTGTCACTACTTAAAAAGATAAGAAAAAAAGAATAATGTATACGCTATAATAAAACATTCTTTAACTGATTCTCTTTTAGGGTGTCAGGCTTCATTATATTTGGTTTCCAGTGACCACAACCTTAATAACAGTGTCGTGGAATATACCAGCAATGAATTAACGATACATTAACACACGAACACTTGTGGATGATCCGTTCTTGTTGTGTATGTTCACTTGTTTGTACTGTAGAAATCTGTCTAATGTTCACTGCTTATGGACGAATAGTATATCTGATGAACATATAGTATGCCTTTACAGTATAGTATATATACAGTACATTTTGTAAAATACAGTACTCTGATCAAAATATTAAACAGACTTTTAAAACTTATCTATAATATAGTTATGAAAACTATGTATTTACACTGGACGTCAATAGTTTGAGAGGTTTAAACACTGTCCATTCCGGATGCTAAACTGTAAGATGTTTCATCACAATCTTAGGGAATAACTGGTCCATGAACTGAACTGTATATACAATTCTATGGGATCACTCTTATTGGAAAAAAAGGCGTTTCGTTTGCCAACACTTATTATGTACTGATTCTTAGCAGTAATATCTTCACTTTCACAACACAGACGTCACAGAAATGTTGGTACAGTATTTAGTTTTTCTTATATCTTGAGGAAGAAGTACGATATAGTATTACATTAATAAGTATTATCACCAGTGAAAACCATCAGGCACCTGGACACATCACCACTCGCAAAAAACTGCCAGTCACTGACATTAATGTCAGGTGGTCTCACTTAATGCATCTTGGGAACCTTAGTCTAAGTTTTCTCATTTCTCTCGCCCTCTCACGAGTGTTCAACACGAAATCACTGGCTTACAGCATCACATTTTACTCGTCTTGAGAAAAAACTCTTAATTTATTTTCATATAAACTTGGACTCTTCCTTTAATCTAAAGTTCAGTAGTTAACTCACATCTTGGGCCTGGCATATGTAGCCTTACTTCAGCCTTACAACTGACTGCCGGGTGTATATTGGTGGTTGTGAGCTGAGCTCCGCGTTTAAGATTTTCAGCATTATCAACTGTATCATCCCTAAAGGGATCTCCAGCCAGCATCAGGCCCACCATGACGGGTTTTCTGATAATGTTAATATAAACATCTTCACCAGATAGAGCAGCATTGATTGTATCGTTCTCAAGGAGTCGAAGATCCCCACAAGATTTTTGGCTCTTGAGCTGGTTTGTTTTAGTTTCGTTTTTGGGTTCGAACATATCCTCTGAGATCTTATGGTTCTCATAGTTGTGTTCATGGCGAGTTACGTCTGGCAGGATGTGTTTATCGTTGTTGTTGGCTTCTAATAAACGTTCCATGTTCTTCAGGTTCATGATTTTCTCCGTTGTGGTTGGAGATGGTCGATGCTTGTCACTTAAGAATCTGTTGACGTGATTCATGTGTTTGGTAATATTGTTGTTAGTTTCATTGTGGATCTTGTCTCCTCTGAGCAGATCCTCGTTGTTGATATGGAAGTCAACCTCTAAGGAATGCTGAAGGTCGAAATCCTTTGTGAAATTTTCTTCTATGTGGTGATTCTCGATATCGTCCTCGAAAAGCACCTCGTCTTTGTTTTCGTCCTCGTCTTCCTCAAGGATTATGGGTGAAAGGCTCATGAGCGAAGTCGTCCTCGATCCCATCAGGCTGAGCGGGCCCCCGTCTGGAAAATAAAAGAGAATCAACACAAGAAACAGAAGTGAACAGTAAACGGGAAGCAGAAATTTTCTTCTATGTGGTAAGATCTTTCGTCCTCGAAAAGCACCTCGTCTTTGTTTTCGTCCTCGTCTTCCTCAAGGATTATGGGTGAAAGGCTCATGAGCGAAGTCGTCCTCGATCCCATCAGGCTGAGCGGGCCCCCGTCTGGAAAATAAAAGAGAATCAACACAAGAAACAGAAGTGAACAGTAACCGGGAAGCAGAAATTGTATTTCTGTAAGAAAATTTTTGCTCAATGCTGTTTGTGTATGTACAGTATCCATATTACTCTCTCTCTCTCTCTCTCTCTCTCTCTATATATATATATATATATATATATATATATATATATATATATATATATATATATATATATATATATATATATATATATATATATAATTTATGACTTGTGTAAATATTGTGATATTTACCGCTGTGATTGTAAATTTATCATAAAATTAATATCTACTAAAATATCAATACCAATTCAAATAAATAATTAATTGGGGAACTGGAAATGTGTTGTTGATAAAGCGGATGATGTTTTTATCTCCAATAGTTTCCACGATGACAGGAGCGCCTTCGTCGTGCACACAACCATAACACTACACTGCAGATGTTTCAGTATCAACACATACTCGCATCACAATAGTCTAGCTAAACTAAATAATTCACCTGATGTACTTGAAGTGCTAATAATAATAGTGAAACATTACCTCTTATATTCAATTCATTATGGAAGGTTTTTATAAATAACATTAACTAGGCAGCAAATGCATGTTTAATTGTATAAGTTAAAATGACAGTTAGCCATAAATACATTTCATAATTAGCTACAGGCAGAGTTGTATAGTTAAATGAAAAAAAGTGTTAAGAGTTTACAAACAAGAGGGAAGCTGGTTAAGTGAGTGTAAGATCACGTCAAGGATGTGTGCTGTAATGTTATAATGTTTTATATATGTCTCAGATAAATTGGTTAGTGGTGTGAAAGAAAGAGTGATGGAGGATGGAACAAGTTTAGTGAATAATAACACAGGCTGTAGACGGGAGGCGAGTGATAAGTATGAATGAATAAATTTCAATGAATGACGGAAAATGCGCGCGCGCGCGCGCGCGTGTGTGTGTGTGTGTGTGTGTGTGTGTGTGTGTGTGTGTGTGTGTGTGTGTTTCTCTTGCTCCCGGACACCCTGCGTTAAGCGGAAAAGGCTTGAAAAAGTTTTAGAAATAAAGAAAATAGTTACAGATATGAGTTCCGTTTCTTGTAAGTCCTTAAATTATCGACTTCACTCCTGAACCGTGTAGTGAGTCCTTCATGACTCAGGAAGATGACCTTAATAGTGTGTTAAATGTGTGTGTCGAGGTCAGGGTCTCACTCCCTCTTTTTTCTCTCTTTACATCTGTAAAATATAAAGAATCTATTGTAGTTCAGGGGTTCACTATTGTCTACAGTAAGTGTGGTTCAGGGGCACACTATTGTCTACAGTAAGTGTAGTTCAGGGGTTCACTATTGTCTACAGTAAGTGTAGTTCAGGGGTTCACTATTGTCTACAGTAAGTGTAGTTCAGGGGCACACTATTGTCTACAGTAAGTGTAGTTCAGGGGTACACTATTGTCTACAGTAAGTGTAGTTCAGGGGTACACTATTGTCTACAGTAAGTGTAGTTCAGGGGTACACTATTGTCTACAGTAAGTGTAGTTCAGGGGTACACTATTGTCTACAGTAAGTGTAGTTCAGGGGTACACTATTGTCTACAGTAAGTGTAGTTCAGGGGTACACTATTGTCTACAGTAAGTGTAGTTCAGGGGTACACTTGTCTACAGTAAGTGTAGTTCAGGGGTACACTAAAGTGTAGTTCAGGGGTACACTATTGTCTACAGTAAGTGTAGTTCAGGGGTACACTATTGTCTACAGTAAATGTAGTTCAGGGGTACACTATTGTCTACAGTAAATGTAGTTCAGGGGTACACTATTGTCTACAGTAAGTGTAGTTCAGGGGTACACTATTGTCTACAGTAAGTGTGCTGCAAAGTAATGCTTGCTCTGGAAGATATCCTTGTGGAGTGTTCTTACAGTAAGAGACCAGCTGGCCTAACTTTTATGAAAGTGAAAATGGGTCCCATAGGCATGACTGCCCGTTAGGGACAGTGTGGATACAGTACATTGTATACCAAGCCTTCGGTACACAAGGAGGCAACATGGCTAGTACTGCACTTGACCGCATTCAGTGTATCCAGTCGGCCTTTTATACCGATAGGTAAAAAAAAAGTTTTCTTGAGCCACTTACCTAAGGTATAACTTTTATTCGGTTCTGAGAAACTGTGTTTCATTTTATTTATACCTGTGCGGTTGTTAAAGAAGTCACCTTATCTCTTCATGTAACGGAGGACCGATCTTAACAGTCTGTTATGGTTTATGATAAGACATTAAGAAGTCCTGGATCACGGTGGATGTCTCTGGACGTATTTTCAAGAACCTTACGTCCTGCATCACGAGGGTCATGAGTGACATACTAAAACTATCTCTGTTAGGGAGTCAGGTCTTGTAGAGTTTGCTGGATGTCCCTGTGAACGACTTGGGGGGAATCTTACTTATTTACATACTTCTACGTCCTTTAGGTCACGAGGGGCGTACTTAGAGCATCTTGAACCTTTACTGCAAGAGACTACAAAGTTTCTTACCACTGTATGACGAGTAGAGTCCTTCAGGATCTTGGTGGAGGTCCCCGGATGAATTCTGGAGCTGCGAGGAGGTTTGGGCTCCCTGGGTCACAAGCCGGCAGCGCTGGGCCTGTGCCTGACGCCGTGTCTGGTAGAGTGTGCCGCCAGTAGACACAGGCTGTAACGATGGTGCCTCCCCGTTCTGTTGTAATGTTACCAGAAGGTGAGTGTGTTGTATAGAAAAGTTCTCCCAAGAATAACAATGAAAAATGCTTTAGTACATTATACAGTTTTCCTACAGGTGAAAAAAAATGAAATAAAACATTTCTCAATTATTTAATAAGATTAAAAGAAGTTCATAAAACAAATTCATCAACCTTAAGAAGCTGGTAAGGAAAACTAAAGTGAGTTTCCCAATCAATTATTAAACAATTAAAATTTTTGCAATAAATTCCTCCAAAGAAAAATTATCAGAGTGAATTTTGCCCATTAATGAAAGAGAGAGAGAGAGAGAGAGAGAGAGAGAGAGAGAGAGAGAGAGAGAGTCACCATACGATAAGAAAGAAAGAAAGAAAGAAAGAAACGACAGTACTGTACCACATACCCTGGCAGCCTTCTGTCTCTTGTACCTGGCCAGGACTCGGGTCGCCCAGGACATGAGCCTCCGCCAGTCCCCGGGTACTGTCACAATGTGTTCCTCCCGACGGTTCAGCAGCGTCAGCACCCTCGACAGGTCGCGCACCACCGCCCTGTAAGAGGTCATTAAGGGTTACTAAAAGAAGCCTTATTGGTTGAGAGATGATTAGTTATTTATACTCATAGAAGGGGGTCAGGGGTCAGAGGTCATGAAGGAATAGCCTGATGCAGGATATTAATTACTACCTGGCTGGAGGTCAAAGTCAACACATTGCTGGAATATAGGGAGGGTATATTCATTCTCTCTCTCTCTCTCTCACACACACACACACACACACACGCTCACCTATAAGCCTTAGCCTTAGTATCGGTAGGAGAGTCAGGTCCACGCAGTGTTCTGAAGCGGTTCCTGGTGTGTGTGAGCATCTCCAGGAAGTTGGTGGCCTCTCCCCGCAGTGTCGCCAGCTGACCGAGGAACTCTGCTCGCTCCTCCTCCGCCACCGACACTTCTGTAAGTACCATGGGCGGGGGGGGTCAGTAAAGGCGGGTGATAATAGATAGATAGATAGATAGAGAGCGAGAGATGGAGATAGGGAGAGACAGACAGAGAGATATCTATCTATACAGTACTCGTATACTATAATAATCTATCTACCTGTATATCTATCAGTCTACGCACCTGTAGTGTTTGGTCTCTTATCCCGCCAGAGTCTGGGGAGGGGGTTGTGGTGTTGGTGGTGGTGGTGAGGGGGGTGGTCCGGGGGAGGCTTGGTGCGTCTGCGCATGTACAGTAGTGCACCTATCATCACGCCCACACACACAGCCCCGCCCACTGCTGCACCCGCGATGATGCTCAGCTCACGCCCAGACACAAGCGCCAGCATACTACGCTCTGTGGGCGTGAATAGAGGGCGGGTTAAGATGGAGAGGAAGGAAAGGGGTGGGAGGGAAGGAGGGAAGTGGGAGGAAAGGAGTGGGTAAGAAAGAACAAAATTTGATTGATAGGTAAACTTAATCTATAGTAATTATTATTATTATTATTATTATTATTATTATTATTATTATTATTATTATTGTTATTGTTATTATTATTATTATTATTATTTATTATTATTATTATTATTATTATTATATTATTATTATAGATATTTTACAAAGAATCGGATCTTAAAAAAATTTCATCTTCACACATTACCAAACACACCTGTACACACACCTGTACACACAGTCACCTGTACACACTACACACTACACCTGTACACACTACACACCCACCTACAGACACACACACTACACACACACCGTACAGACACACTGCACACCCGTACAGACACACTACACACACCCACCCGTACAGACACACACACTACACACCCACCTGTACAGTACAGCCACACTACACACCCACCCACAGACACACTACACACTACACACCCACCACAGTACAGACACCTACACACCCACCCGTACAGACACACTACACACCCACCAGACACACTACACAACCCCACCTGTACAGACACACTACACACCCACCTGTACAGACACACTACACACCCACCTGTACAGACACACTACACACCCACCTGTACAGACACACTCTACACACCCACCTGTACAGACACCCACCTGTACAGTACACACACACTACACACACACACACACCACCACCCACCAGTACAGACACACCACACACCCACCTACAGACACACTACACACCCACCCGTACACACACCCACTGTACAGACACACCCACCTGTACAGACACACTACACACCCACCTGTACAGACACACACACACCCACCTGTACAGACACACTACACACCCACCTGTACAGACACACACACACCCACCTGTACAGACACACACTACACACCCACCTGTACAGACACACTACACACCCACCTGTACAGACACACTACCACCCATGTACAGACACACACTACACACCACCTGTACAGACACACTACACACACCTACACACCCACCTGACACACTACACCCCCTGTACAGACACACACACACCCACCCCCACACAGACACACACCACACACCCACCTGTACAGACACACTACACACCCACCCTGACACACACACACACACAGACACACCCACCCACCTGTACAGACACCCACACCCACCTGTACAGACACACTACACACCCACCTGTACAGACACACTACACACCCACCTGTACAGACACACTACACACCCACCTGTACAGACACACTACACACCCACCGTACAGACACACAGCACACACTACACACCCACCTGTACAGTACACACACTACACACACCCACCTGTACAGACACACTCACACACCCACCTGTACAGACACACTCACACACCCACCCGTACAGACACACTACACACCCACCTGTACAGACACACACACACCCACCTGTACAGACACACTACACACCCACCCGTACACATACACACACACTACACACCCACCTGTACACACACACACACCCACCTGTACAGACACACTCACACACCCACCTGCACAGACACACACACACCCACCTGTACACACACACCACACACCCACCTGTACAGACACACCACACACCCACCTGTACAGACCACACACACACACCACCCACCCACACACACACACCACACACACCCACCACACACCACACACACACTACACACCCACCTGTACAGACACACTACACACCCACCCCTACACACACACTACACACCCACACCTGTACCACACTACACACCCACCCACAGCACACCACACACCCACACACCCACCACAGACACACACACACACCCACCTGTACAGACACACTACACACCCACCTGTCCACAGACACACTACACACCCACCTACACAGACACACACACACACACCCACCCACACACACACACACACACCCACCCACTACAGACACACACACACCCACCTACACAGACACACCACACACCCACCTGTACCACACAGACACACTACACACCCACCGTACTACACACTACCTACACACACCACCACGTCCACGTACAGACACACTACACACCTACCCTGTACAGACACACACTACACACCCACCTGTACAGACACACCACACACCAGTACAGACACACTACACACCCACCCGTACAGACATACACCCACACACCACAGACACACACACAGTACAGACGGGCCCATGAGAGGTGAATGAGGAGGCCAGGAGGTTGAGTGGCCGGGGGACAAGCAGAACGGCAGAGTCGGGTGGCAGACATGATCACGTAGAGACACTTGACGCACTCTGCTGTCTCCAGGTCACACCGCAGACAATCAGGTTACACGTGGCTGTGGGGAGTGGTAGAGTTAGGGTGGGAGGGAGATGGGGAAGATGGGGGAGAGGGGTTGTGTGGGGAGAGGGTGTTGGGGAGAGGGATGTGGGTGAGGGAGGTGGGGGAGAAGGAAGGTGTTGGGGAGAGGGAGGTGTGGTGGAGAGAGGGGATGTGTGGGGGGAGAGGGGATGTGTGGGGGAGTGGGGATGTGTGGGGGAGAGGGGATGTGTGGGGTAGGGGTAGGTGTGAGGGAGGGAGGGAGGGAGGGAACGTGGGGGTAAGAGCGGGTGTAATAAATGAAGTTTAAGGAAAGGTCTTAACACTATGAACCGGTGCATAACGAAAACAAAACACTTTAATCTTCAACACTAGACACAGACATACTGTATAAACTAATAATCAAAAAGTATAAATATAACTCAGAATAAAAATGGAAAATAAAGTTGCCGAACACAATTAGTATGCAGTTAGAAAAAATACTCAAAATGTCAAAACATAACTGAAAATCAAATAAACAATAAAAAATATATTCACTAAACACAATTTCCAAAATCAGAAAAGACTAAAATAAACTTGGAAGAAATAGGAATAAACATGAAGAAATACTTTGTTCTAAATACACTTTTCAAATATGTATATATTTTTTTTAAGTACCGTATCAACTTTGCTTTGGGTTCTCAAAGACCGCTTCTGGTGAGGGGTGTAATCTTATCTCTCTAGAGCCTCAGATCAATACGAATATACAGTACCGTATATCTCCAGGTCGTATGAGAAAGAATGAAATGTTTATATCCGGGTTGTAAGAGAAAGAATGAAATGTTTATATCTACGTCGTAAGAAAAATAATTAAGGAATTTCAAACTTTCCATTTTATTGTTTGAAGTGCTTGATCGTGAGTCACTTTCACCAGCAGCTCACGAGGAAATAAAGTATGCATATCTCTTCCTGTCTCTCTCTCTTTTTATCTGTCAGTTTACTCATCTCCTCGCTATCTATATAAATCTTTCTACCCCTCTAACTATCTATCTATCTACATATCTCCTTCCCTTCCGTTCCCTCTCTCTTCCTATCAGGCAAGTTATGTCAGGCAAGTTATGTCAACAGGAACTCAAAGCAATTATACAGTTCACACTCTCGCCTTCATCAGATACAATTTTGCCTCCTTTAGTTCCGCAGCCGACGGTACGACTCTGTTTACCTCCTCAATTACACCAAGACGCGGAGAGAGTAGCAGGAAATGGCATAATGGTAAGAAAATTAAACTATTATAGCGAGAAATTGTACAGCGAGTGTTGATGATGTCGAACAGAAAACGGGGCGGGAAGAAGCAAGATGATAGAAATGAACATTGGAATGAAAAAGGAAATGAGAAAATGTGAAAGAAAATAATGTTAATTGCAAAATAAATATTCGTAAATTATAGTGTAGGTATAAAATAAAAAAATTGGAGTAGAAATTAAGAAAATCTGGTAGAGACAAATGAGAAAATAAGGAAACAGGGTAGAAGATGGGGAGAAACTTAAAATAATGATGTAGGGAATCACAATGTGTTGTTTTTATGGTATACATGACGTCAGTACACAGGGTCTATATGCCTCCTAAGATCTACAATAAAAAAAAGGGAAACTATTACTTAGATAATAAAACAAAAAAGTATCTAACCATAATAGAAAATAAAAACTGTACGTATATACAAAATAAAGATGCAGAAATGAACTGGGAATAAGAAAACGAAAAAGCACGCAATGAAAAAGAAAATATGGGTAACATTTTTAAACTAAATAAGCACACGAGAAAGTATATCAACAGAAAACGAAACCGAGTATTTTTTTTTTAAATGAAAGTAGGAAATACCAGTGCTATGGGTGACTACTGTATTGTCTCTCCAGGATCGTCTACCCGGTGATGTGGTCACACCCACACACCCACTGCTACTGGTGCTTGTCTCCGCTTTTATAATGGTAGTTGTTCCCTCATCCTACTGCCATCTGTCAGCGGTGAACCACAGAACGGCTAGTTACCTTTTTTATTATTATTATTATTATTATTATTATTATTATTATTATTATTATTATTATTATTATTATTATTATTATTATTATTATTATTATTATGATGTAGTAGTAGTAGCAGTAGTAGTATTTATTACTTTACAAGATGATTAAACGTCTTGAAGCCATCTGGGATTATCTTAGGTTAACGTTAGAGTGGTTGACCTTAACCCTTTCACAGTGGGAGGTTACCCTAAGCTGAATAAAATCGTCTGGCGGGAGCTTGAATAAAATGGCAAGTGCATGACACGCGGTGAAAGGGTTAAGGTGAAATAAACAACAACAACAACAATTTCAATTTCAATTTCAATTGTTTATTCCTTGATAGAGGAAGCAGGATCCTAGTGCTGTCACTAGGTACCCCTGTACAATGACACCAGAAGCATCTGGCAAGTGTGACACGTATATACAGTATAAATATTATAAAGGGGTTTACTAAAGCCTAAGGAAGGAAGCATATTCCTTTAACACATAATCAATGTTATTTACATAATATCTGGCCAGTATGGGGAGGATCATCGTGTCTCCGTCAGGGGGTCGTGGAGTGGTGGTCCAGCAGGCGTCACGGAAGCGTTGTGTGTGGGGACATCTTAGGAGGTAGTGGATAAGGATGCTGCTGTCGGGTCTTCTGCATAATGCACAAGAGCGTTGCTCAGGGGATGCGGGGATACCAATCTCCCAAGCAAAGTCATACCCAATGATGATACGGGCAGCAATCACGTCCCCTTTCCGCGACCCTTTCCCATAGACGTACGAGAGGTCAGGAAGTTTAAACAACAACAATAATAATTGTATCATCTGAAGAAGCTCCACCCTAACGCTTTGTGGGAGATTAGGTTACGTTAGGTTAATCTTTAGGTGAAATAAGCTAGGGTGGAGCTTCTTCAGGTGATCCTAATAATTTTTATAATCATGATTATCATAAATTACAATTATTCACACAATAGATCCATCATCAAGTCATAAAAGAGAAACTGATCGCAATCTTCTATTTGGCTTTGTTCTCACACGGGAATAACGGCAGGAAATACGTACGTATAATAAAATTATATGCTGAAGAAAGCGTAAGAGAAAACGGAGGTAAACACCACCGAGTCAAAGGGTAACTGAAGTAGACTGCCAACACAATGGGCGGACGGACGTGTTGGTTCGTGGGTTCACTTCCCACATTCTTCCTTGTGAATGTTGCTATTCGTGAGCCTTAATCACGAATATAATTATACAGATTTTTGCATCTTCTTAAATGGTATAATAAATCTTATACAATATTATTTAGAATAATATTAAAACAATATCCAGTAAAACTTTAAAACAAACTAATACTGGTTATTCTAATACTAATTCCTGGAATTTTTTAAATCATAATTTGAGTGACACAGAAAAGGCAGTTTATACCATCATTAAAGCATCTTAACCTAAAAACGTAAGGAAGTAATGTGTGTCGTCTCTGTTATCCAATTAGACTGAGAACCTTAGGACTAACAACCCTTCAGGCAACGCAGATCTAATTGAAACATCTAAAATCTTGAAGGTGATGGAAAAAGTGAACCCTGGCCATTTCTATGTAATGTCTCAAACCAATACGATAGGACATAACTACAGGCTCGCAAGGATATCGTGCAGAACGAACATAGGGAAATACTTCTTCACACTGAGGGTGGTAAGCCCTTGCCAAACTTATCATGAGCAATGAAGGTCTGGTTCCCTTGGCCTGGCCACCTCTAGTGGGTGGTCATTAGGTAAATAAGGTAAGGTAAAACAAAACAGTACACATTAATGCGTCTTTCACAAATTGTCATGGGTTCAAATCCTGGCGTGGACCAAACGTGGGAAGGGTGTTATCAGTGTGAACCTGCCAAACAACAGGTTTATTCCCAGTACTCCGGTGTCCTCTACTAAAACTGGACGAAAATTGTTTTTTTAAATAAAACATGAATGAAGATAAACGGAAAAAGAGGACTTTACAGAACTAATAACCAATACATTGGTCATGAGTAGTAGTTACCTTAAAATTACGACAATTTACAATATATTAATACTCGACCAGTTAGTGAACTGACCAGGGGCGATAAGGGTGAAGTGCTGCTATGCCATATTAAGTTTAATTATTAAAGGATGTGATCATAAATTCGATGCCGCCGTTCTCATTAGATTTTTCGCCTGAAAACTGAGATCCAAAGTAAGCGTTAGAATACGGTGGTCAAGTTTTTGGGCTGCAAATTTACCATGATTAGAATATTATTTTTTTATTACAGATAGATTTTCATTTGACCTTTGCTTCTCTGTGCACGGCCAGCATGGATTCTCAGGCCTCACGAATTATTTGCAGTGTTGCAGGATTTCAGATATTCATTTTGTCTTAAGAAAAGCTTAAAACGACAACACTTTGGTTGACCCGCCATCTTAGTTATTCTTTTGTTTCAAGTGAGGGCGATGCGTGAACGGTGTTACAACTGAGCGTGATTGGAAGTCTTTTTTTTTTCCCGAGATTGAGAAATGAGAATCGAGAATGGCGGAAATTTTTGCCAAGTGTGATACCCACCTTTAGAGAACCGAGTTTGTGTATGCTATGTGCTAGCACGAGGCCAATTGTGCAAGTGCAGTGAGCCGCAGCGAATTCATCGTAAATTATGGTTTAAATCTTGATAGGAAGAGTCGCGGTAAACTGGTACCCTGTTAATTATACGTATACAACAAGGTAATTCCTAGCGAACGACGGCATCTGATTGGTTGATCCACTAACCATTGAAATACGCTTTACAGCTGAAAATACACAACAGGTCGCGATCTCGTCAAATATACCAATTATGGATGTTACGATACTATGCCATTAATGAGAACACTCGTGAGGCAAACACACCTAACAAGCAAGGTTCTTCAAGTTAAATTAAGTTAGACTATAAAGAATAATGTGTGTTATCGTGAGGTCCATAAGCTAGCGCTGTGAACAGGGGTCACA